AAACATATATGTATTTATATATTGTGTGTGTGTTTATATGCATGTATATATTATACACACACACGCGGGCGGCGCGCGCGCATTGCCCTCTCTCTCCCTTTCCCACTTTCCCCGGCTCCTTCACCCGCATAAATTTCTCTCATTCTTCCTTTTCTCTTTCTCTCCACGATGCGAGGTCATCCAGGAGGTTGTTGTAGATTATCATTTCTCTACGGTGGGGGGGGGGGCAGTTTGCAGTGTAACCAATTCAGCTCTGTAGCTGAACTCTCCTAAGATTTTGCGTTTGCAGAAATGGACAAACGATATATTTTTAGGAAAATTATAAGATTGATATCATGATGTCTTAAAACATAAGGAGTTCTCAACAACCCTAAGGAATTTTACATCAACCCTAGACCTTTTAGGAACTTCTGCCTACGCTGTGACTCATGCCGGGAAGTCCTAAAGGGTTTAGGAGAACTTTCATGCCCTGTCCCTGATTTATAAAAAGAATCTCCCTTCAGTCGCGGCGACGTGTCCCGAGAGCGAGCAGATCCACTGCGGGACGAGCGATAGTTGCACGAGGATCCGCTACATCTGCGACGGAGACAACGACTGCGGCGACTATTCTGACGAGGAGAGCGGCATCTGCAGGGTGGGTGTTGAGTCCCTCTGTGGCGCTCTGAGTGAAGGGAAACTAAAACAAGTCGGAGGCTATGGGAAACTGAAACTGAAATAGAAATAAGTTTACAGCAATAGTTAGTAAAAGGATTATTGGACAGACGATTAGCCTTCTAGTATTGCTTTTTTATATAATATGGGTTTAAGAATTACAGATTGAAAACGTTTTTGTGTGATAAGAGAGAATCCTCACTTTTTGTACTATGGTCAAATAGGTAAGATCATAAGTCTGTAATATTAAAAATACTTCCCTTGATAACGAAAACAATTATCACAACTTAATACTAGTCATAGCATCTTGCGTAGAACATAAGCGTTTGACCTCTCCTCATCACTGACCTTTCTCTGCCAACATTAACCTCTCCTTACAAACACCGTCTGCAGGCTTGGCGCAATGAGTACTGCGAGCGAGGCTCCGTCAGGTGTCGCAGGATGGGAGACACCAACTGCGTCACCATCAGCCGCTACTGCGAGATTTCCGACCCGCCGTGTGAGGGGGACCTGGACATGCGCCTGTGCCAGGTAATTCTCTGGTATTAATAGTTACGATAATAATTACTTTGATTTGTTTTGGTGATATCCGGCTTGTATATGTGCATTTGCGTTTACGAATAAGCGTGAAAGCATGCGTTTTAGTATCTCAACACATCATGGAACGCTTTCTTGTGGCACAGATGTTGAGGGAAGAAAAGCTTCGTCCTCTTGAAGAGATCGTCCTGCCGACAGAAGAAGCTGCTGGTGAGTGCAAAATTCAAATAAACAATGTTCTCGATTATCATGCGATATTTTCCCCTCTGTTTGATATTAATTTGCTCTTACAATTGATTTCTCTTCTTTTTCTTTCTTCTCTATCTATCATCACCTCTCCCCTATCCTAGTGAGACGCTCAAGCGTGGAGGAGGCCGAGATTTTGGGAGAGGAATTCCTTGAAAAGGTCAACACTATCCTGCACCACCCCGACTGCCCTCAGTTCTACACCCGCGTCGGCGACCGGTGCCTGTCCGTTTTCTTCTTTGGAAAGGTGCGTTTCTCGTACTCACTGTTTGTGTTAATCAATGGACAGGGTGTGGCATCTTCCTCTCTCTTTCTCTTCTTTAGGTTTCCTGTTCAATCTCTTTTTCCTTCCTTTATCTATGCATATATGGCAATGTTTATGTACATCCTCCTACCACTTTCATGAGTGCCCCTTGCGCTCACTTCCAACTGCGTGGTTCCCCGCAGGTCAACTGGGGGGAAGCTCGCTCCTTCTGCAAGACGATTGGCGGCGACCTTCTCACCCTCCACGACGGCGCGAGAAGTTCCACGAGCTCGTCCACCTCCTTCGCGAACACCGTGAGTTACTAGACGTGATAAGGAATGATGGCTGTTTTTTCGGTATCTCTCTTGTCCGCCTTGCTCTTCTGAAGGGTCTTTCATTTTGGGGATGTCTTTCATCCTTTGTTTTAGTTTTGGGTTGTAAACTCTATTTATTATTTTTTTTTTTAGGAAGTGTACTCAAGAGTGACTACAGGAGTTTGTTTATTTTGCACCGCTTTCTTTCTATTTATTATTATTTGTTTTTATTTTTATTATTATTATATTTTTGTACAGATATCACCACAGACTTCTGGGTGGGAGGAAGCTTGAGGAACGAGACGGAGGGCTGGTCATGGGTCGATGGTGCACACATGGAACTGGGCACCCCCTACTGGACCATCAGGTATCCCTGTTACGACTAGCAATCCTTATCCTCTCTGGCTCCTTTTTTTTTTCACTGTTTGCATTTAAAACATTATTTATCTATTAATTCACTGCTTGTTTTTCTCTCCTATTCGTATCACATTCTAAAATCAAAATAAAATTGATTGAATTAGGATTTGAGGCTCTTACCTGCTTCCAAAGTTGCTTCTCTCCTCTCCTTCAAGGAATGTTTCAACCATCTTGCCTTTGGTAGAACATGCAATCTTTCATCTGCCTTAAAGGAAAGCATAGATACAAAGATAAATAATAGAGTACATATATGAAATCGCAAAGGTGCTGTGGGCCACAAGCCCATGTGTTTGACATTCCTGGATTATACTGTGGATTAAATCCCCTGCTCCCCTCCCCTCCAGGTCTACCACCGACTGCCGACCTCGCACCTACTCAGTCGGAGTCAACTCTACTCGCGTGGCCAACGAGGGGGCCTGCTACCACTACCAGCAGGCGCCCCACACTCCCGCCGAAGGCCACTGCGCCGCCCTCAACTTCGAGAACTACTTCTACATGAGCGACGAGAAGTGCCTGGAGCTGAAGAGTCCCTTGTGCGTCCATCCTAAGAAGATTTAGGCGATCAGAAGCCACTTTCTGACCTGTGCTTCCATGCAGTTTTTCCCTTTTCCTTTTATTCTGTTGATTGTTGCCCTCCAATTAGTTTCCCGGAATTTCTGACTGTATTCCGATTAAATGCCACTTCCTATGTTATTTTTACTGTCAGCTGAATGCAAATAAAATACAAAACATTTTTTTCGTGATATCCTTCTTATATAACTACACTTGTTCTATATGCATTGCATGTGTGATTATCCAAAGATATACGTACAAATAACCATAATCAAATATGCTTTCGACGAACAAAATAATACATACAGACTTATACCAAGGTCAGCATGGATAGCTGCCTGTGGGTTGTTACATTACTCTATGTTAACAAACCCAGAATTTATTTGTTATATGAAACATGCATTTCCATATTTGGGATTTATTATATCATCACGAGTTACCGAGTTCTGCGAAATGACTACATTATTAAAAGTTTTATCGGTTTTTTTAAAACCCTAGACTAGTATCTTCGAAATCCCCGACCGAGAACGGTATCGTGGGTCGGTAATACCCCAATCACATCTTTGTTTGCGTTGTATCACATCATAGATGAAGTGTGTTGGAAGAAATTCTAAGAGTAAATTTCCAGGACAGGCCAGCATGATAGATTAAAAAAAGAAGAAAAAAAATATTTGTCCCCCTGAAAACAGAATCTTGAGTGGGCAGTGACCTGGGGAACTATCCACGCCCATCATGATATATGCCTGTATGCACATATAATGTGCATTAGCAATTTGTGTGTTTCGTGATACACACACACACACACACACACACACACACACACACACACACACATATATATATATATATATATATATATATATATATATATATATATATATATACATAGCAGCAGCAGCCCGCATCGGTCCACTGCAGGACGTAGGTTTTCCTAGTCTTTTCCAACTTTTTCTGTCTTGCGTTTTTTGCTCTCCCCTGTTCTTGGCCCCCAAATTTCGTTATTTCGTTACGCCATCTCGTCATTATTCTGGCCCTTGGCCTCTTTATGTTATCTATAGTCCAATCTGTTACTTTCTTTGTCCATCTGTCGTCTTGTCTCTGACATATATGCCCTGCCTATTGTCATTTCTTCTTTTTGATGCTTCCGAGTATATATTCCACTTTTGTCAGTCCCCTGATCCACGTCGCCCTCATCCGATCTCTTAGGCTAATTCCATGCATCAACTTTTCCATTCCTCTCTAGGCACTCATTAGTTTCCTCTCTAGTAATTTGGTTGCAGTCCATGTTTCTGTTTCAAAGTGTCAAGAGGTTGGAGGCGTAGAGTAGGTGGAATGAAAGGATTCTTGACTGGAGGGTTCATTAGGAGAAGTAAAGGTGTGATTCCACGAGAGGCCCGGGCCCCGGGTGCCGAGGCGGAACGTTGACCTGCTCTGCGTCTGCTCTTGCTCTCCCCTGTTCTTGTTCTCCTGTTGCTTTGATCTACCTGACGAGACGCCCTTTTATCCAGCTATTCCTTGGAAGGGCGTATGCTTGCTTAGCCGTAGAAGTGTCTAAAGAGAAAGCAGAGAAAACACTTGCGTCCGTTGGAGGAAGGAAGACAGTTGATGGGGCCTAAGTGTGAAAGGGGAAACCATCCAGCTTGACCATATCGTTGATGCATAAGTCATAACTGGGAGGACACACTGGTTAACGACTTTCCTTTTTAAACACATTGGCAAGGAACCTCTTAGTATGCTACTGTGTCTGCCGAAGAAGCTGCAGCCTAGACTGATGCGTCACTCTATTTCCTCTTTGTTAGATGTGTTTCTCTGTATGAGTTGCCCTAGATATACTTACATATACTAATGCAGTATGTATACATCTATTAAAGTCATACTCTAAAACAGAACAAGACACTTCTATGACGTACACGAAAACATAACTAGGGCTAAAGGAACACATGGAAGACAAACTGTAAATACTATACATGATTTCTAGTGTCATATCTACGAAACGTCGGAAGTCGAGACCGTCGTAAACATATACATACATACATATATACATACATATATATATATATATATATATATATATATATATATATATATATATATATATATATATCATCATCATTAACGCCGACGGGGGCGCATAGCCACGTCCACCTTTTGGGATCCCTAATGGCAAGCCGCCAGGCAGGGACTCGGCCCATCTCGAGCTCCTCACGACAGGTTTGATCAATCTGCCCTAGGCACGACCTCCTAGGTCGTCCCACAGGCCTCCTCCACCCAGGGTTGTCTCTTACAGAGACCTGATGAGCAGGATCAGCCTGTGGAAAGCGAGCCAGGTGGTCATAAAGCCTGAGTTGGCGATCCTGGATTGTGCAGGTAACAGGTCCTGTGCCAGTCTCACAGTGCAACCGTTGGTTAGACACGTGGTCCTGCCAACAGTACCCCATGATCCGGCGCAAGGACCTATTACAAAAGACGAGACTCCAGGGCACTGGATAATGTCCAGGTTTCACTACCGTAGAGCAAACTGGCATTATCAGGGCCCTGAAAACCCGTAGCATGGTCCTTCTGCACAGGTACCAGCATCTCCAAATACTCTTGTCCTGAGAGTTAATGACCCCTGCTGCCAGGCCAATCCGTCAGCTGACTTCCTGGTCTGACAGCCCAGAGTTATGAACTGCACTACCTAGGTATGTAAAGCTCTCTGTGACTTCAATGTCCTCGCCGCAAGCACGTACCGACCGAACAGGTTCTCCTAGCAAGTCCCCAAAATCCTGGATCTTGGTCTTGGCCCAGGAGACCTCTAGACCCAAGGGCTTCGCTTCATTACTAAATGCATTGAGAGCCACCACTAGGGTTTCCAAAGACTCAGATAGAATAGCAACATAATCGGCAAAGTCAAGGTCTGTAACCTTGATATTGCCCAGTGATGCTCCACAATGACTTTGCACAGTAGCTCTGCCCAGTATTCAGTCCATGCAAGTATTGAAATAAGTTAGTGCAAAAACACAGCCTTGCCTCACTCCTGAACTGTCAGGAAAGAAGTTTGACAGGCCCCCACCACACTTTACAGCACTTTCAGTACCAGTATACAGGCTTGTTATTAGTTCAATAATCCTTTCCTCTCAGTCTCAGAATCTCCCAGAGTGATTCCCGATGCACCGTATCGAACGCCTCCTTGAGGTTGATGTAGGCTGCAAGCAGCCTACATCTGAATGACTCGAAGCACAAGGATATAGTCTATTGTGGACTTACCAGGAGTGAATCCAGATTGCTCTAGCCTCTGATGCCTCAGTAGGTGGCCTCTAATACGTCTCAGAAGGATGTGGGCAAGAACCTTGCCTGGTACACTGAGCAGTGTGATGCCGCGGTGATTGCTGCAGTCGCATCGGTCCCCCTTCCCCTTGCAGATAGGGATGACCACACCCCTCAACAGGGGGGGAATGGTGCCGGACCGCCAGGACAGCATGCAATCCCTACGCCATAGGTTCACCACTAGCCCTTAACAGTTCAGCTGGGATGCCGCAAATACCCACTGCTTTACCACTCTTCAGCTTGGAGATCGCTCCCCCCAGTGGTGGCAGATGCAAGCGAGAAGGCATGCAAGCACTTAACACTATCTAGACTACCACACCATTTCTTCACACCACCCTGCACATGAAGCACCCACCATATATATATATATAATATATAATATATATATATATATATATATATATATATATATATATATATATATATATATATATATATATATATATATATATATATATATATATATATATATATGTATATATATATATATATATATCCATATATATTATATATATATATATATATATATATATAGCACACATATATACATATATATATATATATATAGTATATATATATATATATATATATATATAGTATTATATATATATATATATAT